TACAAGGCTACTCTGTCCCCACGCCCCCTGCCCCTCATCCGTGCTTCACACCACTAGCACTGGGAATCAACACCTAGAAATTCTGTGAGCAGCGGTTTCGGACCTTCCAGGGCTCTCATCGCATGTCTTCCCAGCATATCACTGACTCCCTGAGGAGGAGAGCAGCTGGGTGAGGAGGGATTATTATTATTTTCAAGTTTCTGCTTAGAGACAGCTCGCTGAGATGTGCGCAAAAGAGCGATCTGGCGCGTCACTGTACGCGAGTTTCAGCCTTCAGAATGCAAAACATGCCCCTGAATCTAATTAGATATGGGGTCAAAGTAAAGAATTTCCTTCCCCAAATTGACTGGGGGAGTTTTGTATGTTTATTTGAAGGAACCAGATCATCTGACAGAGCCAGCCAGCCTACAGGCTCAAACTGTGATTTATACTTTGGAGGGAAAGAGAAGTCGTTTTGGAAACTCCAAACTCTTCCAGATATTATCCGCTCCTGGCTCTAGTTAGCTGACCCCTTCTACATCTGTACTGTACATCTGCAGTGATTTATACAGACAAAGGCTACAGCTTGGACATCTTGATGTGACTCCCTTCTCCCACCCCCCCAACCCTGTGCACCACTTGAGGACTAGAAGGAAGAACTCACCCCCTACAGTGGCTCGGGGAAGAAGTTTGTTACCTATACAAAGTGAAGAGAAGGAGGTGCTAGTTCATCTGAAACAGCTGCTTTAGAAGCAGAAGAAACAGGTGCAGGGAGAAGCATTATCCAGGAAGGTCACCCCAGGCCAAGTGCTACTGGGACTATAGCATGAAGAAAAAAAGCTTGACCAGATCAGAAGAAGCCTGGGTTTAATCCCAACTCTTAGCATCAGGAACACAGTAACTGGACAGGTCATTTAGACCCACTGTCTCCTCTTAAGAAACCCAGCCTGTGGAAAATAATAATGGCAGAATTTACATAGTAATTCAGGCATGAAACGCTTGACATTTATTGTAATTCAGTTAATCCTCCCAAGGGGTCCTTGAAGCTTGTTGTCTTAGGCAAAATTCTAAAATGACCCCCAAGATTTTCCTGCCCCTTGTGTATATACCCTGTATAACCCCTGCCCCACTCTCTCACCCCTGCTGGAGTGTGCATGGGATTTACAAATGTGAAGGCTATCATTTTGTGATTCTTACTTTACAAGATGAAAGGATTTTGTAGGTGTAATTAAGGTTCCTAATCAGTTGGATCTGAGTTATTCAGAAGAGCGATTATCTTACTTGGGCCTGACCGAATCAGGTGAACCCTTTTAAGGGTTTGGACCCATTTTGAAAGAAGAGATTCCTGGTGCAAGAAGGACTCTCTTGCTGGCCTTAATGTAGCAAACTGGAACAGCAGACGGCCTCTGTGAGTTGAAAATGGACCCTTAAACATTTGCAATCAACAAGAGGGCAGAAACCTCACTTGCAAGCAGCTTCTGCAAAGCAGAAATCTCCTCAACTGCATGGAAATGTCCTGAAGGAGGTCAGAGGGAATCTTTCTCTCTTCAAGTCTCCGGATGAGCATGTATGTACCTGGCCAACACCTTGATTTCACCCTGTGAAACCCTGAGCATAGAACATATAGGCACTACAATGTGACTGGCTCCTGACCTGTGGAAACTGTGAGGTCATACATTTGTATTGTTTTAAACTACTAAGTTTGTGTCCACAGAGACTGCTAAATTTGTGGTAATTTGTTATGCAGTGATAGAAAACTAACATACGGGTGCTATCGTTACCTCTATTTGACAACAGGGAAACTGAGATACAAAGAAGCAGACTAACTTGCCTACAGTTGCAAAGCCAGCAAAGTGGTAGAACTTGGATTTGAACCTGGTTTCTGGCTACTAAGTATTGCAATACACTAAGCTCCTGCCACCTTCCTTCTCTCTCTTTTCTTCTTCCTACAAGTTGCTATGGCTCGCATAGTTGTAAGACCCCTTCCCTCTGGTATAGTTGGTCAGAAAGTCATTTTGAAAGCAGTAACTCTGGGTTCCTGGCCTCAAGCCAGTTCCCCACTCTCTAACAACTCCCTTTTTTCATATATGGGAAATCCTAGGCTTCACTCCCAGAAGGTGTTTCTTTTTCTTTTTCTTTTCTTTTTTTTTTAACACTTCTAAAAAAAAAATCTACAGTTTTAAAATTATAGCCCTGTGGTTAAGGGAAAATGACATTTACTGGGGAAGCAAGTTGTTATGGTTTTAGGTACTCTGCCAACTGCAATGAAAAGGGGGCTTTTAAATGTCATTTATACATTAGGAAAGATTTAAAGAGACACTAAAGAATATACCTGGTCGGCGTTGCCAAAATTTAAAGGTCTTATATCCACAAGTATCCTGGACTAAAATTTAATTTGTTCTTTTATGAGTATAGAGTGTGTTCTGCCCCAAGTCTGAACCAAAATGTTTAAAAATCACACTTCATTTCAAGGAATTTACGGAGACATGCCAGATCTACAAAGATACAAAATATAGATCTAAAGATGAGGCAGAAGTCTTTGTTGCCTAGGGTAATCTTTTTTGGGGGGGAGGAAATTAGTAAAAAATCAGGCAATATCGTGTTAAGTAATATTTTGTTTACTTAACAGAAAAGCTGGAGAGTAAACTTAAACTCTCTGCAAACCTAAACAGAACCTCCTCTAATTTAAATATAAGATGACTGAGGCCTGGGTAGCAATAATGGTCCACATGTCAGAAGATGATCAGGTTAGTAATCCAGATTGTCTTGGCAATGCTGTGAGTTAAACCAAGTCTCCATCATGGCTGGTTTAATCTGATCCTTGTAGAATGAAGGTTGGAGGAAGATTATGAAATCCTGAGGATAACACTGTCAGTGATATTACTGCGACACATTTCAGCCTCTGCCAGTTAATTTCATCTATGGCCTCGAATGTGTTAGCATTATATATCTGTGTTATTTCATTTTTAGCTATTCACTTTTTTGCCTGTAAAATGCTCTTGAGAATCCCTCTCCCATTAACCTTCAAGTATACTAGACTCTATACTTTTAGCTCAGCTCATTTATAGCCCTTACAAATGCTGAGAAAATACTGATACATCTTCACTTTTTTGGGTTGGTGGAGCACACTGACACATTAACTTGAAAAGTGGTCTTTATGTGTAAAGGTGACATAAATCTTGGTATTACTGGGCTGTGTACATCAAGTTGTTTTCATTATAAGTGATGAATTTAGGCCAAATTGTCTAATGCATCTTAATATTGTGACCAAGATGAACATGAATCCATACTGTTTTCACTAGGAGTAAGGGTGCTCTGAGATAGATTTGCTTACCACATTTTGATACCACAGGCACTTGGTTTTTAGAAATAGAGTAAAAAATGGTATAAAGGTAAAGCTATGTTTATTTGGTCAAAAAACTTGTAAAGAGATTTTTAAATGATGCTAATAATTGGATATTTTTCTAAAAATCTAATTTGATTTTGTTATATTTGTATAGAACAGGGCCTTCATCTTAATAATACTTTCCCCTGTGCCTATAGTTAGCTTTCTTGAAGGTGAAATCCTTTACTCAGGATTGCTGTGATGAATTCAGGAGAAAATACACGAGACTATACTTAACACAATGCCTGGCACCTGGGAATTATTCAATTGATAGTAAATAGAAATCTAAAAAACAAAAAAGTAAAGATTTTCTGTACTGTATCCCTTTTTAAAATTGAAAAATTGAAAACCACTGTTTAAGAGAGTTCTTGCTGTCATCATTTATAGGGCCTTAAGACTGCTGAGTCTTCTAAAGTAGAGAGAATTTACTGGGAGGGAATGTTGGAAATTGAAGGACACTGTGGCCGGACAAATTGTGCTGTACTAAATCGAGTAATCTTTAGTCAAAATCTATAATGTCAGTCTTTTCACAAAGATCTTCCCTGGGTTAAAATATCTGATCCAGGAGTTCGTCTGAATAGTGTCATAGCACGCACATGCTAGTGTGTCATAGCATAGTGTCATAGCAATAGTGTCATAGCATAGCACATGATGAGTAGAAGAAAAGCCAAGAGGAAAAGCCTTCTTGCCCTGAGAACTCCACCTGTAGCCTCTGGCCAAGTGCCCTGCTTGATACTCCTGTCCACTTAAAAACAAATCAGGTGGAAAACAAAACAAGAAACAAATTAGTTGTAAGGATATTGACCAAATCCCTCTTTCTATTCCCTTGACTCTGCCCTAATTGGAAAACAGGCCACAGAAGACTAACCATATTATTGTATCTGAGTCACTATAAAATTGAACAGTTTAAATTAACTACTTAATTATTTTCATTAGATACTTTGGAAATTCTTTCTTCTTCCAATTTTCCTCTAAAGGAAAGATGACATTTGCCACTCTTTTGGAGCCTGCCAAATAGTGCAATTGACAAAGGGTATGTTCAGATGTTAGGGCCCATTAGCTGGAACTGGCTGCCATCTTCATTGTTCTGGGGAAAGAGAAAACAAACACTCGGAAATGACAGTGGATTAACCAGAGCCTTGGTGTAAGCAGTGGAAGGAAGTATAGTTGGTTTAAGCATAGAGGAAATCTTTCTTAAGGAAACTGGATTGATTCCTTTAAGAAATAAAAGCCAAGTGCTCCGTGGGGAAGGCGAAACACGTGGTGACAGTTCAGCTTTCAGTGCAGTTACAAATACTGGTTTGCTGGGTGAGAGCACCTGGGACAGTTCAGCACGAGCTCCACCAATGCAACGAGAGGTGTGTGCAGGGCCTGCCCTAAGCAAATGAGTAGGAAAGTTTGTCTTCAACAGCTGTCTGCCCCACACCTCACTGCCACCTTCTGCAACCTCTTCCTCAATTCCTGAGTTACTTTTCCCCACTTTTTTTCCAAAGGCTTAAAATGTTTTAATTACTTGGCTTTTTAATTGTTAAAAGCATTTCATGTGTTTTCTGAGTTTAAAGTTCTCTAATCAAAGGGGTAAACTGAATTCCTACGAAGGTAATAGAGTCTCAGGATTTTTTTTTATCCTCTCTAGGACTCCTTGTACTAATACTTGGAAATAAATGTACTTAAGTGATTTTCAGACACCTGAGGACCATAGTGGAAGAGAAGAGCAGGTATGTGAGCAAAAGATAAAGTGAATAAAATTGCAGAGTGAATGCCAATAGGACTCAAAGTGTTGAGTTCTAAATCTGTTTCTACAGTCTTGAAAACCAGATTGTTTTTCTTGAGTAATATATGAAGTAGGCTAAATTACTACATCATTCTATCGCTTTTCATTTTGGGTCCTTCCCAGATGATAGTTATACTACCTGTAAGATGACATGACCTATGAAAGTATGAATTTTTTTTCTGGAAGTGTTTGTCATATACATCACCTAACCCATCTGCCAACATCTTCTTCAATTTTTGTTGTTGTCTAAGTAAGACTTTGTAGAGCTTAGCATTATGCTAAGACTCAAAAATATGATCTCTGGGAGTTGCATCATTTTTGAAGAGATGAAAATATACTTACATACTAATGAGGACAGGTTGCAAAGTGTGACTTCTGTCCTGTAGAAAGGAATCCACTATAGCGATCAGGCATCAGGAAATGCAGAGGCTTGAGCCTAAGCTACAGAAGAAATGTATCTCAATAAGACTAAGTCTCTTTCCTCTTTCAAATAATTACAGTTACACTCCAGATGGATAATTAAGAGTTATCTGAGTAGTAGCCACAGGGAAAGGAGCATTGGATTTGTAGACATGGAACTAGATATGTTTACCTAATATGCTGCTTCTCTGGCCAGTTCTGTGCCTGAGAAGCTGACCTCTTCTGTTGCATCCTCTGGGATCCTTCGTCTCTGGTTTCTGGTTTATTTCAGACAGTGGAGGCACTGGCAGGGGATGAGAGGATAACAAGAGGGAAGGACTAGAGTATCCCTTTGCTGGCTTTACTCCTGCTTTGCCACAATTCTGGCAGTACCTGTGTTCACTGTCCAGGGCCAAAGTTCCTGTCACACAGCTCCTCTGTCACAGTGGCAGCTCTTCACCAGGCTTAGGGACATTGTTCTCTCTTCTTCAGGCCTTAGGATGTGGTTTTCTCCTTGCATTTCGTCCCTGAGTACTTTACCATCTCTTGTTGACACCTTACCCTCACCCTTCAATCAATTATTTTCAGTCAAACCCTTTAGATATGCCATCTGTTTCCTGCCAGGACCCCAAAGGATACATTCAAATTCTTGGATAAGTCAGATAATCTCTCTGACCTTTTATTTTCTGTATCTATAAAACTGGATAGTACCTATATTGCCTACTTTGAAAGGTTGTTAGGAGGACTGATAATGCATGTGAATTTGTAAAGTATCATAAAAATGTAAGCTATGAATAGCAAATCATCTAGTAATGTTGAATTCTAAGCCAGCTTTCCTTTGGTACTTTAAATGTTTTTCTTATCTTCCCTGAATGATAAATTGATACACGCTTTGGGAACACAATCTTGGGTTGACTAAAGCCAAGCAGAAGTGGAAAAGGGATTCCTCTACTGCATGCATCCCAAAATGACCAGTAAGCCATCCTTGGGTTGACCATGTCTCTGTTCCCGTCCTCAACAGTCTGCAATTCAGATCTGGGAGGACGACATAGAAGATCTTAACATATCTTGTTCCTGTCCTACATTTTTATCCTTGATAATGATTTCATTAGACATAATTCCTTTGTTTTCATGTATAGCTCACAACTCAGTGAGATTTTCAAGCTTCTTTATAATGTTTCTGGGGACAAGGATTGTACCTTCTATATTTTTTTCTTTTTATGCCTCACAGTAACTTTCATACCGTTAAGCATGTATCTGATAAGGTGGACACTTGGGGAATGAATGGTTGATTGGTGCAGCACATACTTGTTGCTACTGAGACTTCCTAAGGCTGACAATGGGCATTCACTGATTTAATACAAGAGCGTGTGCTCCCTGATTAGCGTGACCCTCTCTTTGCATGCATGGAAAGTATTTGTTTAACAAATCTAGATTTTTATGGACATCTGTTGTGTTTTATGTGTGTGTTTTATCATGTGATTTGGCACATGCAGGACTCCAAGAAGAGAAACTCCTCCTCTTTATTCCCATCTTACTTGATTGGAGGCCAGTAAAATGATGTTACAAAACAAAATAAATGCTGATGATGAAAATAATGATTTTCCATCCAGTCTTTCCAAAGCTAATTAAGAAAAGTAGTGCTATTCCTGAAGACCAGGTAAACCCATACCTGATTTTCATGGGAAACATCTGTATTTTCAGAATTGATAAGCCTGGGATTAGTGACTGCTGGTTTACCTCCTGAGCCAGCTCTAGAAAGGGCACGTGGACAATGGTACCAGAGGTATTTGACTCACAGATCCTTCCTTTCTTTGTTTTCTTCTGAGTAGGCACAGTGCACTCCAGAGGACATTTGCTATTTTTTGTTCCCACATTCTTGCTCCTTCAAAAATAGAAAAATAACTGAGGTAATCAGGGGCCCTATTAAAGGCACTTGGGAGGCCCAGACTGATCCTACTAACTTCTCTCTGGGGGAGACTATGTACAAACAAAATCAACAGCCCAATCGAAGGGTCAGTATAAAGGTCGCTTAGTTTACTAAAGTCACCAAGGTGCTGAGGAAAGTACACAAATGCTTGGACCCTTAGACCCTGAAATATCTTTAGTAAATTAAATAAGTGGCCAGAAATACAAGATTGTAGGAATATATGTGTTTACACATGGTATAAAGAAAGAAGAACATGATGGAGGAGTCATGGTTGATTAGCAGCTGATACTCCAGTGCTAAAGATGGAGCACAGGACTACTGGGAAATTCCAAGAGTAAAAGAGAATGTATACATTTGTTAAATTTATAAATTATTTTCTACAGATAATGATGCTGGAGAAGGTTAGAGATAGAGAGATTAAAATAGAAGGAACCATCAGGGAATATTGTTTAGAGGCGGTGAGCCTGGAACTGGCCTCTGCAGGGTTGGACTGGTGGAAGGCAGAACAGTGGGGATGATGGAAGGCCACACCCCTGCCAGGAGAGGATTTAGACAGCAAAGCAAAGAAGACTCTTCACATAGATTGCCCAGTGTAAAGTAACGAGGCGATATTGGAAAGTCTTCTCTCCTTCTTCACCCCTGTTCTAATACATGCGGACCCTGGGTAGAGAATCAGTCCTCCCAATAATCCAGTAATCAATAGTGATGAGGCGGAGGAAGCTATCCATTCAGAGTTTTTTTAGTAAAGAGGATGAAGAGAGTGTCTTGGTCTGCTTGGACTGCCATAATAAAACCAGAGACTGAGTGGCTTAAACAATAGAAATTTATTAGGCTGGGAAGTCTAAGATCAAGGTTATTAGCAAGGTAGTTTCATTCTGAGGCCTCTTATCTTGGCTCGTGGGCAGCCACTATCTTACTGTGTGCTCCCATAATCCATTCTTTGTGTATGCTCAGGGAAGAACTCAAGTTTCTTCCTCTTCTTATAAGGGCACTAATCATATGGTGCAGGCCTCATCCTTATGACCTCCTCTAAACCTAATTCTCTGCACATTGGGGATTAGGGCTTTAACATACGGATTTGGGGAGGACACAAACATTAGTACATAAAAGAGAGGCATCAGGAGAAGTTGTCATGTGAGAGAAGGAAGAGGTAGACAAACATCAAGAAGAACAGTGGAGTCCTGACTGCATGGCTATTTAAGAAACTGGACCCAGAATAATAAGTTGTGACATATCTAGAGTTAATTGACTAGCCATGAGAACTAACTAGATACTGCCTAGTCAGACAAAAGAGTTAGAAGGTGCAAAGCCAAAGGTTGATTGGCTATGGGAAAAACAAATGTGAGGTCTGGTTTCTGCATCTAGAATTCAGATAGAATTAACTCCAGGGAAGAATGAGACCTGCAAGTCACTTCAGGATGTTTGGTTGGCAGGGAAGGACACTTTAGGGTTATGTTGGAAGTAGCATTTGACCTATAAGGCCAGGAACTAAAGGCAAAGAAACAGCTGCAGAGTGAATGCAGAATGACCTAATTTCAAAGAGGGCAGGGCCCTGGGGCAGAGACCTGCAGCACTGAAAGGAGATGATGATATTGTACTTAAGGGAAATGGAGGAAATGGTAAAAGGTTAATACTCTGTTATGGGGTTAGGGCAAGGATATTTTTACAGAGTGAGCTAAGAGTCTTGACCTAGCAATAACCCAAATGACTGGAGAGATATCTTGAAACAGATTGTGACATAGAGCAAAGTGAGACACCAGTGAAGAGATCATAGTGATCCTAGGATCTCTCACTTTGAAGCATAGTCCTATTTTAGACAGGAGTAGCCTTTCATTTAACATCATTGAAACATTAATACTTTTGATGATCCATCTTTTTGTTTCTTAAGGAAGTTCTGAAAGAAGACAGTTTCAAATAGAAAGGCAGCTGAATTTCTGGGGCCCAATACGAGGAGGAGGAACAAAGTATTTGATGGAGAAGTGGGCCGATTTCTCTTAGCACGGTGTGCTGCCCTTGAACATTAGACAAAATCACTCATGATCAGTATGCTCTAGAGCAGGCACCCTGACAGGTATGCTCTGCATTTGTCCAAATGTGCATTATAATAAGGATAATTCATAATAAGAACCACTATAATTGAAAAAAATGCATTCACAAAAGAATATAAAACTATAAATTTAAGACAATGTGAACTATAAAGTTTAAATTTGTGTTCCTATTTCTGCCTTTAAAAGTGTCATATTTATTGGGATAAATTCCACAGTTTCTCAAAACCTTGTTAAAAATAATCAAACTCTATTCCTGCTGGACCTGTAGAATCTACATTACACTGTGACCTTATTCTGAGTCAATAAAGCCTGGCTAACTTCAGTTGCTTGGATAAGTGGGGAAAACGTATACATGTACCCTCAGCATGTATGCATGTGTGCACGTGCATGTGTGTACTTCTTTTTTCCATTGCATTTTAAACCCTCTTTCCCACTCTTTGCCTTACCATTCTCTCATGTTTCTCTATCTGTCTGCCTGTCTATATTTTAGGAATCAGAGTCCATCCTAGTGAGATTGTGGAACTGTAAATCTTATCTCTGGAGCAGCCAGTGTGAATTAGAATTTAAACACCACCAGCCAAAGGCTGACAAACAGTCCCAGAATGAAGTGTGCCTGCCAATGTCTGTTACTTGAGGCTAGATGGATTTGGTTCTGATGTGATCATTCTCTACTGGCAACAGGAACCTGTTATGAGACAGAGTACTAGGAAATAAACAAGACATTTACTTTTATATCAGAAATTTCAGAATTCCTGTATCCAGGGTAATTATTTTTTGAATTAAAAATGAAAACATTATTTAAAATGTACATTTATGGATGCCCTCAGAAAACTTTTTCCCGTCTCAGTTAGTTGTTGTATAGAGGTGAGCAGGATGATCCACAGGTGATTTTGTCTTATCTGTGGTTTGCGTTTTCTAGAACTGTGGGTCAAACATTGAGACTTGGGTTCAAGCACTTCTACTTGCTGCTTGAGCTGCCCGTGTTCCCTTATTATTAACATATTTCATTCATATGATATATTTGTCACAGTTAATGAACCAATACTGATACATTATTGTTAACTAAGTTCATATTTTACTCAAGTTTCCTTAGTTTTTACCTATTGTCCTTTTTATTTGTTGTTCCAGGATCCTATCCAGGATACTGCATGACATTTCATTGTCATGTTTTTTGGGCTCCTCTTAACTCTGACAGTTTCTCAGATTTTCTTCGTTTTTGATGACTTTGATGGTTTTATGGCGTACTGGTCAGATGGTTTCTAGAATGACTCTTGGTTTGTTTTTGCCTAATGTTTTCTCATGATTAAACTGGGCTTGTGAGTTTTGGGGAGCAAGACCACAGAAGTAAAGTGCTATTCTCATCCCCATACCAAGAGTACATAGTATCAACACGATTTATCACTATAGATGTTAGCACTGATCACCTGGCTGAGGTAGTGTTTGTCAGATTTTTCCACTGTAGTTATTTGTCCCCTCACCACCTTTTCTACTGTACAATTGAAGGAAGTCACTACTGCATCCTACACTTACAGAATGGGGAGTTCAGCTCCGCTTCCTTCAGGGGAGATTATCTACATAAACTATTTGAAATTCTTCTACACAGGAGATTTGTCTATTCTCCTCCTATCACTTACGTATTCAATCATATACTCATACCAGTGTGGGTTCATGAATAGTTATATTACATTTGGTTGATAATCCAATACTACTTTGCTTATTTTGTTGCTCAAATTATTCCAGATTTGGCCATTAGGAGCTCTTTCAACTGGCTAATGTGTCCTTTTCATATACTTCTATCTTTTCCTTTTCTTTTTTCTTCTTTTTTCTTGGAGGGAGTGAACCTATTTTATTTTCTGACATTACAAGATACTTTTATATTTTCTGCTCCTGTCCTAGAATCAATGCTTTATCCAAGGAGCTTTGCTTTCTTTTATTGGAGAATGCTATTAGATTTAAGCATTTAGATGCTATGTGTGCTTATTGCTATCGGGGTGTTGTTGCTGCTAGGCCCTCTCAGCTGACAGAGTAAAAAAATATGTATATACTAACCTTTGCATATGTACATATCTATACATTTTTCTCTATATTCATCTGTATCTATATTAAGCTAAACATGAGTTCATACTGGTGTCTCTAACTCACATTTATTGCTAATGAATCATTTCTTTGCTTATGTGTGACTTCCTACTCCAACAATGAGAAACCTGGCTCCCACCATCAGCCACGCAATTTACTTACTTGTCCAATTTCAGTATAAATAGCTAGTGGTATGCTAATTCATACTCATAAGAAATAATGTTATCAATTAGAGTGCTTATGTACAGTTCTTGTTATCTTTCATCTTACTAAGTCTACTAATTTACAAAGTTCCTTAAATCAGCACCTGCTCCTCCCTTACCTCCATTCAGTGAAATTATTTCACTCATTTGTAATGCAAGGTGATTGCTGGATCATATAGTTAGACTATGTTTTGCTTCATAAGAAATTGCCAAACTGTGTTCCAAAGTGGCTGTGCCATTTTATGTTCTCACCAGAAATGAATGAGAATTACTGTTGTTCTGCATTCCCATCAGCAATTAGTATTATCATTTTTTTAAATTTTAGCCATTCTTATAGGTAAGGAGTATTATCTTACTGCTCTTTTAATTTTCTTTTTTTACTTAAGAATTTTATGGGGGTACAATGATATGAGCATTTTTCATATGTATATCTTCTTTGATGAGATGTCTGTTCAGATATTTTGTCCTTTTTTAATTGGTTGGTTTTCCTATTATTGAGCTTTATAAATTTTGGATACAAGTACTTTATCACATATTACATTTGCAAAACTAGGCTTTTATATATTAAGATATAACCTTATAATAGACCTGGAATATTATTATCTTTATTTTATAATGAGGAAAATGAATCTTAGAGGTAGTAATTTGCCTAAGGTCACTCTTATAAGTTCAGTTGCATCCCTACAAAAATTACTGAAGTTCTAACCCATAGGACTTCAGAATGTGACCTGATTTAGAAATAGGATAATTGGAGATGTAATTTGTTAAATTAAAATGAGGTCATCCTGGAGTGGATGGGCTCCTAATCCTATATGACTGGTGTCCTTAGTGGAAGATGGTCATGTAAAGTCAGAGACACACAGGGCAATTGCCATGTGACAACAAAAGCAGAGGTTGGAGTTATGAATCTCTAAGCCAAGAAGCATGAAAGATTGCCAGCAAACCACCAGAAACTAGGAAGAGGCATGAAAGGATTCTCCTACAGATTTCAGAGGGAGCATGACTCTGCTCCCACCTTTATTTTGGACTCCTACTCTCCAGAACTGTGAGATAACTAATTTCTGCTATTTTAAGCCACCTACTTTGTAGTACTTTGTTATGGCAGCCCTAGGAAACTAATGTACAGTCGTTCAGCTAGTAAGTGACAGAAATAGAATTTGAAACTTAGTCTATGCTAATCATATCCCATGCCCTTTTCTAAGTAAAGTACTAGAATGTCTATAAATATGACTCTTCTGACAGTTGAAGTATAGGCAGTGATTGATAATCACAGGAGTATGTATAATTGGATTGTAAATGAGACTGGCTAGATTTGAGCAATGAGGAATGAAGTTAAAGAATATAGTTGTTCAATCTTGTCTAGTCTGCTTCATCCCTTCCAACCCATCTCTCAGTTTTAATTACTTCCACAGGTGAAAATAAAATTTAAGGAGGTCGAATGAAGTAGAAAGGAGAAAGCAGAGATGGTTTTAACTTTAGGTTTGGAGGGAAAAGGAAGAATAGTTGGGTATCCTATATAATCTAAATGTTAGGGAATTGCTAGGTCTGTTATTGAGTTGCCAAGGTAAACTGTCATTTCCCTCTTTTGAGATCCCTAAAATCCCTAAATTATGCAATGAGTGCTAATTATGTGCCAGCCAAAGTAGAAGGGTGGTAGATTGTCAAGTAAATATAAGATCCAGTCCCACTTATCAAGGTTGAAATCTGGCAACACAAAAATTAGTATATCTGAAAATATTAGAAACAGAGGGAAACTTTTCAGGTTTGACCATAAATGTAATAGGAGTTCAGGTAAAAAATGGTGGAGAAGTATTCAAGTTTTAAATGTCAGTGTTCACTAATGCTCCATCCTCAAGTCTTCTTCATACTCTCTATTCAGTGGGTGATCTCACAAAGTCAGCTACTAATTCCTCTAGCTTTGATTTCTGAGTTTCAGATTCTATTTATAGCTATAACTAGACAGCTCCTAAATCTAATTCAGTATCTTTAAAATCAAACTGACTTTCCAAACCTCCTCTGTTCCTTATCTCAGGGACTGGGTTTATCACCTATATAGTTTCTCATCTTAAAAAAATCAGATTTAATACCTGTTATTCTCTTCCTATAACCTTTATCTACTCCTAGTATCTATTGGTCATAAAATTCTATGGAGTGTATCTTTGAAATATTTCTCACATCAAGCCCTATTTGTTATTCCCACATGGGTTTCATTTATTGGTCCCAGTGTAACCTAATAGGTTTCAGATAACTGCTTTAGGCTTCTAAATAGAAATCTTGGGTACAAGGTCTCCTGTCTTTACTATACACCACACATTGATGCCATGGTGATCTTACTAAATCAGAACTCTACATATAACTTGTATTCCTAAAATTGTTCAATGTCTTAATCTTAGACAAAGCATGGCATGAATTTACTTCCAACTCTGGCTCCCATCTGACCTTTCCAGCTTTTCCCACTGCCATTTCTTCCCTTTGCTTACATCTTAAACTAAAAGCTACATAGAACTTATTAGTAAACATATCATGTTCTTTTGTTACTCTGAGATATTTAAAGACATAAAGCTAGAAGAATTTCTGCCTAAGAAATGCCTACCTTCCTCTACCTAGAAACCTTCTATGTATTCTTTATGATCTCACTTGACCATCAGCTGGTGTTTGCTGAGAGCCCACTAGGTACAGAGAACTATGGTAGCCAACATAATATAATCTTCATGTTTTCAATAATTCTCTTAGTACCAAGCATTTTGCTGATTTTTA